GGGGGGAACTGAGGAGGGGAAGCGACAGAGTTTTTTAAATGTGTGCAACACAAACAAAACTCCACGTTAGGTATTAGAGGCAAAGTGCTGACATCCAGTGCAGGTAGGTCTATGGTGAACTGGCAGGGCTAATTGTTGGACTTGAGGCATCTGAGCGGCTGTAGTCACTGACAGACCCTGTTCTTGAGCTGCTTCCACTTCGCCTCTTGAGCATGCTTGGGTGGAAATTGGCATGGCGACGGGCATGCTTTGTCAGATGGTCACTGCGCATGAAGCGTTTCTCACAGAGAGGACAGCTGAACTTCTTTTCTCCAGTGTGAGTGCGGTAATGGCGGGCCAGCTCATCGGAGCGAGCAAACTTCTTGTTACATCCTTGCCAGTTGCATTCAAAAGGCCGTTCACCTGCAGGAAGCAAACATGGCATGATTAGAAGGGATAGCAATGTCTTCCTTGGTTTTTTGTATACAAGTTAGAATAAAAAGGTTGGGAGCAAGGTAGATGCCACTTGGCACTAATTCAATGGAGAATGTGTTACTATCTGCCAGAGAGGAGGCCACTGTGGTATTCCAACCCATTAAAAAGTACTGTAAATCAAACTAGTGATACCAGATAACTGGATCTTCAGGGATGCTGGGCTCCTGATCCTTTCATGGACATCACATTTTATATCTCTTGTAGTCTACTGGACTTTACTTCTAGACTTCGACAATATCTGTACTGAGCTCTATAGAATATTCACTTATTCCTCCAAGCTGTCCCTATGTCTGTCTGACTCAATGTTGAAGTTCAGAAGGTGTGGTGAAGTGTCTCTCTTCAGCTATTTAAAAACAGTAATAGTGAAAATGCAAAATGGCAATTTTGAGGCACTGGATGTGAGGCTTTCACCTTGTATTCTCCACAGCCATGCCTGTGTTTTCTGCATTTGCTACAAGGTACTACGGTTTCTCTTGTTCACTGCCTTAGGTCTCTGTCGTGGTTTAATCTCAGTCGGCAACTGAGCACCACACAGCCGCTCGCTCACTGCCCCCCACCCGGTGGGATGGGGGAGAGAATTGGAAGAGCACAAGTGAGAAAAACTCATGGGTTGAGATAAAAACAGTTTAATAATTGAAATAAAATGATAATAATAATAATACACAAAACAAGTGATGCACAGTGCAATTGCTCACCACCTGCTGACTGATGCCCAGCCAGTCCCCGAGCAGCGGCCCCCCCGGCCAGCTTTCCCCAGTTTATGTACTGAGCATGACGTCACATGGTATGGAATGTCCCTTTGGCCAGTTTGGCCGTGCCCCCTCCCAGCTTCTTGTGCAGCTGCAGCCTGCTCAGTCGGTAGAGCATGGAAAACTAAAAAGTCCTTGGCTAGTGTAAGCATTACCTAGCAACAACTAAAACATCAGTGCGTTATCAACATTATTCTCATCCTAAATCCAAAACACTGTACCAGCTACTAGGAAGGAAATTAACTCTATCCCTGCTGAAACCAGGACAGTCTCCTGCAGAAGTCAGGCAGGGAGCACTGTATTTCAACTATGTAAATGTGCCACATTGAAGGTAGCAGCCTTCTATCAATAGCTAACCTAAAACCATGACCTGTTACGCTTAAGGTAGGACCATGACCAGTAAGCTCAAAGAAATAACAGTCTGGTGACCTGCTGCACTTCTCAACAGATCTCAGACATGGGAAACATCTCTCACAGGGCCAGATGCCCATGCCGTTGCATGGCTGTGCTGGAGGTCTGCACTTGGGCACTGTGGTAGATGTGCAGCCTGAGAAGCTCGAGCACTGGAGGCGAGCACAGGTCGCAGACAGAAGTAGTGTTGTTGGGTAGATGGGTATCTGGAATATATTCCCAGCTTCATCACTGATGTGCTGCATAGCCTTGGGCAACTTGTACTATTGGTTTCCATTCTTAGTTTCTCCATTTGTTAAAAATGAAAACATCAAATCATGGAATGTGCTGTCTACTACTTCTGTATACTGGTTTGGTTCTTACTGTCACTGAGTCTGAACATCACATATTCTTTATTTGTTAATAATCTAGAACATCTTATTCTTTTGTGAATACACAGACTTAGCATTTTTTTGTAGTTGTAATTTTTATAACTTCATACTTGCATTAATCTTAATCTTTCTAATGCTGAACAGCCAGTTCAAGAGGCCCAGAGAGCTATAAAAAATCTGTGCCAAAGTAAGAAATAAAAGTTCTCCACACACTACACCAAATAGGAAATAAATAAATAAATTAGCCTCCTGGAGAAATTCGATACACCTTAATTAAAATTGTCTGATAGCAAAATTGACCCTAGCCAGCCTTCAGTCTAAGCAGCCAATAATCTGTTTTAAATTCACAGATTTGGCCATAACGTTTATCTCCAGGATCTATTTAGGAGGCTCCTGCTCAGAAAAAGAGATTTGTAGGTTCTTTTTCCTTCTGTTTATGAAGCCTCCAAGATACATCACCCAAATCTCAAATAGTGTCTCGATGAACAGACAGGCAATTCTTTTTTTAAAATACCATTTTGTTCAAGAACATGGAGAAAGCAAGTGTCCCTGATGTTTCCTTGATTATTTAGGAGAAAGACCAAGGCTCATTAGACCAACTGTTCTCAAGCACATTTTGTGGATTTCATTAGTGACACCTACAACTACAGTGCATAATGCAATGGTTGTATCTGTACGCAAGGGAGATTTTCATATGGAGAACCGTGAACACCACCTCCTAAGTGATCTGCAAAAGGCAGCTAAGATGAACAGGACTGCTTTCAGTTGGCTTCCCCTGAACTAAAGACTAAAAAAACTTAGGGCCCCACAAACTTTTAAGAATAAAAACACCACCAACTGGTTTAATGGATATAGATTTGTTGCTCAAAAGACCCCATGCAAATCCATTCAATGTCCTCCTGAACCTTCTCCTGCAAACTGTCAGGGACTCATCTCTCAGTCTACTGATAGAAATGGGAAAAAAATGGGAAACAAATATATTTTGGCTGTGTTTGTCATGTACCCAGTCATCTGTTGTTAGATATGCTCATGCCTGTGGTGGGACACGCCAGTCATCCCTGTTGTGTGACCAGATTCACTGGTCGTCTCCCCATGTTTTGGTCATAACAGATATACTTCTGTGAGGACTTTGGGACCCCTGGGAAGAAGGACAATGAGACATGGTCTGACAGCTGGATCTGGCCTGCAGAATCGAAGTTTCTCATCCCTGAGCTATGGCACCTTTTTTTGGTAAGGCAATGGCCTTTGGATGTTTCTATTGCCCAAGTTAATTTTCTCCGTGTATGTTTTCTTTACAAATGGTGTCAGCAAATGTTCTTCACTAGAAGGACTGTCACATGAAATGACTGCTTTTAGACAAGGAAGGCAAGAGTTAACATGCAATGTTTTGCTTCTGCTGTTGACACCACCATGAAGCACAGCGAAAATGGTACCTTTTCTGCTGGTTAGTTAGCATAGCATCAGCTGCTCTTTTCTATGTCTAGCATTTGGTAGACAGCAGTAGGCACAACAGTCCAGTTCCTAATGAGAGAAGAGGTTCTGGAGTGGGATTGTGTAAGATCTGTGTTATCCAGCACTAACAGTCAGGTGATGAAGGTATTGCACAACTTATCTTCCCCTCTCCTCACTGCACGTCAGATCTGGATGAGAACATTCAGGTTCCTACTCTCCTGCCTGATTTGATGTTGTTGATAATGGTGGTGATGATTTGGGTGCTAAGCCAAAGAAAATATGGCCTTTCTTCCACTATTTCTCTACTGTCCCCTGTTCTCCTCCTTCCTAGGAACTATTTTTTCCCCTCAGTCCTCTCTAGTCTTGATTTGATATCTTCTTGGTAGTTGCTTTTAAGTTTCTTGGCCAAGTGGTTTTTCCCCTCCATGCACTCTCTGACAGCTGGCATCACTCTAGTAGTGGTAGTAAGTTCTCTAGGGTGCTTCCCAGCTTTGTTGAGGTTTAGCAATACCTCCTCAAAGAAAAGCTGTACTGTGAGGAAATGCTGGATGCCTTGTGTGAAGATACGAGAGTCATTATTGTTCATAAAAAATTAGTACGCAGTCTGGAACGAAGTTGCTGCGGGGTATTAATTAAGACAAGACCTAGCTGCTGCTCCAAAACCACACGTGGAAATTCACAGTCTGTCATCAGTCTCATCTCTCAAACAGAAGGGATGTGGTTTTCTGTGCAGGTAAGTTATATAAATGTCCTTTTACCGGCAGTAAAGCAATCAACAGAACGAGAGATTGTATGAATTGATTGCCTAATCTCATTAGGGAACATGCAGCCACAGTACAACTTTCTTGCATAAGCAGTAACCCATGGACATGTTGTACTCAACAAAGAGCTTTCACCATTAAAGTGGCTGTACACGACACAATAAAGATTTTGAGCTCTATCTTAGGCAATGCTGAAGTCAGAATTTTACCTTTATACAATGACTGCAGAATTTGATCCTATAAATTAATGTGGAAATGTCATCAAATATCTTAAATATGGCAGGAAACGTCAAGCACGTGAATGTGTATATTGAGAGTCATAGAATCATAGAATCATAGAATCATTGAGGTTGGAAAAGACCTCTAAGATCATCGAGTCCAACCGTCAACCCAACACCACCATGCCCACTAAACCATGTCCCTAAGCGCCTCATCTACACATCCTTTAAACACCTCCAGGGATGGGGACTCAACCACTTCCCTGGGCAGCCTGTTCCAATGTTTCACCACTCTTTCAGTAAAGAAATTTTTCCTTACATCCAATCTAAACCTCCCCTGCCGCAACTTGAGGCCATTTCCTCTCGTCCTATCACTTGTTACTTCGGAGAAAAGACCAACACCCACCTCGCTACAACCTCCTTTCAGGTAGTTGTAGAGAGCGATGAGGTCTCCCCTCAGCCTCCTTTTCTCCAGGCTGAACAACCCCAGTTCCCTCAGCCGCTCCTCATCAGACTTGTTCTCCAGACCCCTCACCAGCCTCGTTGCCCTTCTCTGGACACGCTCCAGCACCTCAACGTCCTTCTTGTAGTGAGGGGCGAGTCTTAACGCTACGCCTTGGCAGTGGCAGTATTTTTGTGCAATATGAGCATTACTAGCAGGTCTCAAAGAGAGGTAAGTCTCCAAAAGATAAACATGCTTGAAAATAAAGGAATCAAAAAGCAGCTCAGGCTTCTTTACTCTTCAGAGAGGCAGGCAAAAGATGCCTTTAAAAGATAAGGAATATTGTAAATTTTTTTTTATACAATTTTAAATAAGTTTGGATTTCCATGTTCCAAATCCCACTAAACTGTAACCCTTCTAGCTCCTCTGCCAGAGCACATGACATCATATAACTTGTGTTTAGAGTTACACAAGCTGATGGAAAAACATCACATTCGAGAATTAAATTCAACTGATCTTAACTG